CCAGCTTAAGTCTGGGCTAGTACAAGCAGCCGCATATACACATACACACGCATGCACGTCGTCATATGAGCGAAATATTCTCAAGCACGACGTAAAACCCAATTTCACCTCACCTCACCCCAAAAAGAAACGCATAGCCGTTTTGAATTTGTAAAAATCTATTAATAACCTAATGTTTTCAAACAATCTTCAAAATATGTAACAAAAGGGTTGATAACATGATTTTACACAATTGCACAAGTGAAAAGTCGAATGTTGATTATGATGAGATTTCTTACAAGAACAGAAATCACCTTCCAGTTGAAATTGTGCAGCAAAGAGCATGAACTGTCTGGCTATAAAACCCAGATTACTTTCGGAAATTGGCATCCGTTTTGAAGGAGTTTCAAGGTCAAATCACTACGCCAAGTCTTGACGCTGCGACACGGAACAACGCCATTGAAGGAATGCACGCTGGAGATTACCAATGTTCTGTTGCCAGGCGTCTGAATGTTAGTCTGAGTACGATATCACTGCTTACAACCAAACATGAATAACAAATGTGTCAATGACCGTCCCCGTACAGGAAAACCTCGAGTCAGCCTTGTAGCCCAAGATCGGTACATCCGGGTACTACATTTGCGTGATCGTACTGCCACGTATGAGAGCACAGCTGCCAGGGTGCCTGGACTTCGGAGAATATCCGGTCAAACTGTACGGAACAGGTTGAGAGAGATTGGACTGAGAGCCAGGAGACCCGACGTCGGGACCATGCTACGATATGTGAAATTATCCACTTGGTTGTATAGATATTACCTTCTTCTAAACTGATGTAAACATTCATTTCTTAACGTCTATTTGTGGACGAGTTATACATGTTTGAAAATACAACATTTTCGCAACAGATTTCTGGGTTATGCGTTTCTTTTTTGGAATAGTATATTATTTTGATTACAGATTTTTCATTGTCTATGAAGGGTTCCTAAAATCTTTAATTACAAATTGAATATCCAATAAAATGTTTAGCTTCATAATAACTGAAAATAATTCTGAACTAGTAAAATAAACTGGATGGGTTTTTTAATTTACAAATCATAAAATTTGTTACTATAATCACTGCATTTAGAGAATTGTTAGTCTTGCCTTTGAATCTAAACATCTAATCTAAACATATGTCTTTTGTATAGTATCCAAGCCAAAGTTAAGAATGTCAGTATCAACATGGTCGCAGAGTAATAACATATATGTGACCTATTGACCGTAATGGAAGAACATTCGTTGGCCCCTCAGCCCTGTGTACCTCTGACGATGTACTGATACTACCGAGGTTCCACGTTACATGCTCCTGACCAGATCCTGTGGTCGATGGGCTCAGTGTAAATGAACAAATACACCGACTGGCACGATTTGGGTTCTCTGATGCCAGTGATGGGATCATATGATCGAATGTCGTTATTGACACGATGCTGATGATCAAATGACAATTTGGGTCGATTACCAGTAATGGTGCACTCCTACTGCCAGATCGGTAATAGCGGCGTTCCTCGACACATCTCTGCTTGTACTGGCCAAGTACGATGGCGAAGCCTTGCGTTGATGTTAAAACACTAATTGGGCTCTTCATCTGCACAAGCATGAATCATTTACATCCGGGTTTATCGCAAGGGAGAACCCTTTTCGAGGAAGCGTGACTTATAGCCATCAATATTGTACGTTCAGACTACCTACTGATATCATCAGGGCCTCACCATTCCGTGTTAGGTCGAGACTATAGTAGGTTTGGTTGATTGGTTGGTTGGTTGGTTGGTTGGTTGGTTGGTTGGTTGTTTAACGCCGCACTCAGTAATATTCCAGCTATATGGCTGCTGTCTGTAAACAATCGAATCTGGACCAGACAATCCAGTGATAAACAGCACTGGGATACGAGTGAAAGTAGAGTTTGATCACTTATAGGTGATAGTACTCGTTCAAGGAGATAGACCTTCATGTTAATAGGTTGTGTGCGAGTGCGTGTGCGTGTGCGTGTGCGTGTGCGTGTGCATGTGCATGGCGACCATATTAAGATCTTTTTTACATTCCGGTGCCATTCCCACAGCTACCGATACATCGAAGTGAAGGTAGAGTTTGTATAATTACAAGTCATAATACTCTTTCAAAGAGATAGACCTTGATATGTTTATGTGTGTGTGTGTGTGTGTGTGCGTGTGCGTGTGTGTGTGTGTGTGTGTTTTGCTTGCGTTTGTGCGCATGGATTGCGACTGTATTAAGATAACAGAAACATCATTCCGGCGCCAGGCCAACAACCAGGGGGACATACTAAGGTAACATCTATTTCGACATCCACAATTTGGGGTCAGAACCCTCAAGAAATATGGCCTTATGATGTTCCCTTGTACAATGGCCGTAAAGTATTATTCAAAATACCATTCATCTTGGTTGCCTAACATGGTTGTGTCGAACTTACGGTTGTGTCGAAATAAACGCTAGATCTGTGTATTCTTAAATGAATCACCATTTTGCGGTTATGTCGAAGCTCGAATAAGTATTTACACAAGCCCCTTAAACTTCGACACAAAGGTGTTTAACTGTATCTACAAATCCGTATGTACGATATAAATGTAAGAATGGATCTTTAAATATCCTTATTATAAGGTACATAAGGACTACAATAAAGACGTAATTATGTCTTGGGATATGTCTTTTGGAAAACAATCTGATGTACCGATTCCAGAATAATCAGATAGTATTTTTAAACAAAATTCGATATTTTTAAAATTAATAATGTTGTGTTCCATTCAACATATACAGAAACAAACATATGTGATTGAAGGAGAATACCGGTTTGGCAGAGCAAATTACTTTTAGTCTATTTGCTCGAGAAAATCTTCACATTTCCCCTGAAAAAGTACCGACATTTTCAGATTAAAAAGTAATTGCAGACGATACATGATCTGCAACATCTCGGCCTCATTAGTCTTCTTCGATAATGTATAACTGATATTACTTTCAGTCTTAAGAGGGGCGGTGGGGTATCCTGGTGGTTAAAGCGTCTGCTCCTCACGCCGAAGACCCGGGTTCGAATCCCCACATGGGCACAATGTGTGAAGCCCATTTCTGGTGTCCCCCGCCGTGATGTTGCTGGAATATTGCTTAAAAACGGCGTAAAACTATACTCACTCACTCAGTCTTAAGAATCGAACATCCCTCAACCAGGTTGCTTTTCCTCAGACACCTGAGCCTTATGATAAAAGCACATTAGCTGTGAGGAAATTAGTTTCCAGGCGTTTAGATCGTGAAAATCCGTGTAATTCCGTAACGAGCCGAAAAGCTACGTATTGCAGATCTTACAGTAATCGTAAGCAGAGCACGGGGGAGCTGTTTCCGCGGTTAAGCGAAAATGTACTGTTACCCTGATGACTATTAATTGTGACGGCAAATCTTTCTATCCGCGTCAATCGTAATAGGAAACCCTTTAGTAGTATTGGCAAGTAGTATAGATGTAGTACTAATGTAAATGAAACCACTGCGATAACGACGTCCCCAACGACTCTCTGCCTCTTGCAGGGAAGCGTAGAAGTCATAGGGGAAATATTTATCAGAAGCTGGGTCACTGGAAGGACAGTACTCATTAGGGGACTGATCAAATGATGTGAAAAGCGTTACTAAATCAAACGTTGGGCGGTGAAATTAATGACAAATGATTATTTAATGGGCAAACAACCTAAATGTTGACTTCTTTGATCTACAAACGTGGCAAAACATTTCATCCCTCTCAAGCTATATATTTTCAATGTTTATCAGACAAACAAAATGTGTGCTTCTATTCCCAGATCTAACATCACCAATGTGTGGAAGTGGGAAGCTGTAATTAAGAGATAAGTTTCGACTTTGTCAACAGGAGACACCCAAGACGTCATACAAAGTTCGCAAGCTGTGACTGACTCATATATGTGTGACATTTCATCCCTCTCAAGCTATATATTTTCAATGTTTATCAGACAAACAAAATGTGTGCTTCTATTCCCAGATCTAACATCACCAATGTGTGGAAGTGGGAAGCTGTAATTAAGAGATAAGTTTCGACTTTGTCAACAGGAGACACCCAAGACGTCATACGAACATCACAAGCTGTGACTGACTCATATATGTGTGACATTCCAGTTCTATGGTCGCTGAGTAGGGCCATCTCTCGTCTCGTGATATCGCTTTCTCGCTTTCTCGCGGTCGGATGTTAAGGCGAGAAAGCGATGACCCTTATCAGCCACCATACAGTTCAGGGTTCCGATCCACAAAGCGTTCGTAACGTTACGACCTGTCGTAACTCTATGGTTTATCGGAGCGCTATGAACGCTTTGTGGATCGGGAACCAGGCTTCGACCAACTACCTAGTAAACATTCAACCGGTCTCATTATTGCCCGGAAACAAGGAAATGTCTAGACCGTCATATCTGTAAGTGAGTTGGTTTTAACGCCGTCGTGAACGGTATTCCAGTCATATCACGGCTTCCTGATGCGAGTTTTGCTTAACCCCGCACCAGCAATCTGGCATCTATACGCGGCTCCAAACAATGGAAATGTAATGGCATCCAGTTATGCGACATGTTTGAAAAAGCCACAGAAAACTTTCCATATTCCCAAGACACTTCTGCCAACCGCAGATTCGAATGTCCGAATATATCAAGAGCATGTCGAATGTCCGAATATATCAAGAGCATGTGTTTATTAAAGTGATGACACGAGGTATTCGCCTAAATGTGATCGTCTCCTGTCCCAATGTAGTCCCCGTCACAAACACACGCAAGGGCAAGTCAACCGTTCACCTGGAAAATCGTAACATATGTTATAAGCCAAAACAGGGAATGGCATCGGAGAACGGAACTGTCTTCCACGTGTCCACTATATAGCCTTTTGAAGCTCTCACCGAGGCTTGAATTCTGTAACATTGCTCAAACAGCTTTTGAGCAAGACAAACAACGTTTTAGCAAGAGTGGCAAATCTTTGAAGGATCGAATGACACCTACCTTCCCAAAACTTCCCTTCCCGATGGCACGGAGAATTTGAAAGTGGTCGAAGTTGACTGAAAAGAAAAAGAACACATCAATTCAATTCATTAAATTAACAAACTTAAGCAAAACATGTATGGATCGCTCTTTAGGTTACATTGTATTCTTAAACTTTATATCAATCATTTTACCAAAGGCAGAATTCGGTCAGTAAAAGATGACAATATTGTTTTGAATGTATGCTGATCCCAATTCTCTGAGGAACACAGACAGACTGTAGGCTATTCTTCGCGCAAGTTTCGCCCCGTGATGTGTACACATTGATTTGAAAGTGTTTAATATTCTAAGTGTCAAGTTGGCGTAGTGTTTCTATAGCGATATCTCCTGAGGACATGACGTTGGACATCCGCAAATTGTTTACTTTCATGTAGAAGCATGAAGAAGGCCATTAGGAGCTGCTGTCGGACCGTCTGTATTACATCCAGTAATTAGTCAAGTTTACTCCCTCGCCCTCCTAGAAATACATGACAAAAAATAGGGAACCCGAAAGGAACTACTAATCACTCTGACAAGTCACACCGGGTGAGAATATTGATCTTCAGTAACCCATGCTTGTCGTAAGAGGCGAGTAGCGGGATCGGGTGGTCAGGCTCGCTGACTTGGTTGACACATGTCATCGGTTCCCAATTGCGTAGATCGATGCTCGTGCTGTTGATCTGGTCCAGACTCGATTATTTACAGACCGCCGCCATATAGCTGGAATATTGCTGAGTGCAGCGTAAAACTAAACTCACTCACTGACAAGTTACAGCATGCGTATATTCGTATTAAAGCACAAAGTAGAATGCCTACGAGACCAGTGTTTGCCCTTAACCCTGAAAAACGGCAGGCCCTAAGGACCCAGAACCATAAAAGTTGTGGGTCCTGATCAGAATGTGTAGGTCCTATATTTTAATATGGAAATTATACTCTTATTTATTGGGGATGAAAACGCTGTCGGCCATAAGGACCTGCAGAAAAAAAAGTTGTGGGTCCAAGTGGTTTTCAGTCGGCTTCGGGCCTAAGGACCGATGTTAATTTAGAACGCTGTACGAGACTGCATCGTAAAGATAAGATAAAAAGGCTAATTGTGGTTTTGATTAGGGTTTGTTTGTGTGCGTATGTGTGAGAGAGAGTTGCAACAATCAAAAGGTGTAATTTCTCGACAGTGGGACAACTACTGTTAACTGTACCTTTACTGCACTGCGAAATAGATTCAGATGGCGAGCATTGTACAATAACTGATTAATTTCAGCTTCTGTCATCGTACATGAACACACCACATGACCTGCACGCCCCGAATAAGTTTATAGGCGCATACATTTTACCGACTAAGTTTTCGTCGGTAGTGTACCAATGTAAGAGAGGTTAAGGCAGTGGACTGGAATTCTGACCGCTCCAAGCCTCGTAACTCTAGCGAACAAGGAGCCAGTGTAGTATACTCGTAATACTCCATACAATGGGGAGTCACTACTCTGTGAAAATGTCAATATTTCCAAAGAGAATCGAGTGTTTGCAACTATCATAAATTAATTTAACTAAACTGAACCCAGTATTTGGGATCAAGAGTATTTTAAGAGATATATTAAGTGAAGACTGACCACCCTTTTTTATACTCTATCCCCAAACATATCCATGATCTCTAACTTGTTTGCTTTAGTATATCATGGATGTTCCGTATTACTGGAGATTTGCTGTTGTCCTCTGCAAGCCCGAACGTCGACTTTCGGAAAGAATGCCACTCATATGTGTCATATAACCAAATACTCACGACCTATTGTTTGGATGTTGCTTTACAGCAGGATCTGAAATATGACCATGTTTATGTTGATGTTCGTAAATGACCTGTTTGACACTCTTCGTTGGGCAATTGAAACGTTTCTCTAAATCGGTATGCGAGGATTGATTCAATTTCGTATTAAGCCAGTGGATCAGTGTCTACATGTCTGTACTGTATTGCCACTGCCCTTAGCATACAGAACCTTAGCATACACCCTGAGTGCTCAAAGATAACACTCATCTAATTGTTGATAATTGGATGGTAAAAACACAAATGCTCTCATGCACCCGAAACACGGGTATCAACAAGTGCGTTGTCTCCCTTGGCAAGTGGCTTCGTTCCAACGTGCCTCTGACCACGCTGCAGATAATGAGTACCGGATAGCGTAAGGGAATGTGAAAACCCTCTAGCGACCATAGGCATACTGGGTTGTATACTCCCCAGGGCGTTGAGAATGATAACTGGATCCACTGGTCGGGGAACAAATAAATTCTGTTGGTTCTTGTGTTTTTCATCCCAAATGAAATTGACACAACGTTATCTGAGTGAAATGCAATTCAGAGCGGCGTTGAAACGAACCATATGACTGAATCATTAGAGATGGGCATTGAACTGACCGACCCTCACGTTTTTATGGATTCAATTGACTGGACCTTGTCACTGAATCATTGAATCATTGACCATATCACTGAATCTTTGGAGGAGGGGAATTCAATTGACCGACCCTCAGGTTTTTATGGATTCAATTGACTCGACTTTATTATGTGATGAGGGATTAAACTGACTAAACCCTCAGTTCGACGATTGATTCAATTGACTGGATTATTTATACAGCTAGGAAATTGAGTGAAACGAATTGTCCGCAAGTGGGGTTAGCTTTGACGTCCCTCGTTATGTGAGGACTGATTCAATTGACAAGACACTTGACGCAATGAGGACCTTGGCTGTCTACAGATTCAATTGAACTGTATACTTTTATTTATTTATTATTGAATTTACCTAAATATCACGACATTGTACCGTCGTCCCCGGGGAGATACGTTTTATATTTTTCATCTCCGACAACCCCAGGTTGCCTTAAGAGGAGACCAACGGGATTGGGCGGTCAGACTCGCTGACATGGTTCATGCATGTCCTCATATTCCTATTGTGTAAATCGATTATGTGAATCACTTTATTATCTTAGGACAACAAAGAGTCCAAGCAACTGACCTCGCATCTGATCTTGTATTCAGTCTTCAACCTCGACAAGGAGTGAGTGAGTGAATGAGTGAGTGTGTGTGTGTGTGTGTGTGTGCGTGTGTGTGTGCGTGCGTGCGTGCGTGCGTGCGTGCGTGCGTGCGTGTGTGCGTGTGTGTGTGTGTGTGTGTGTGTGTGTGTGTGTGTGTGTGTGTTAGAATGTGTGAAGCCCATTTCTGGTGTCCCCCGCCGAGTTATTGCTGAAATAATGCCAACAGCGGCGTAAAACATCACTCACTAACTTAACATTGTCACCGTATACGGAAAGGTGACCTGGTGACATTTGTTCTGCTACTATGTGACAATATTACAAATGAGCATGTATCTACGTATCTGTTTGTATGTGGTGGTTCTGGTCTTGGTTTGTCTGGTTTGGTTTACAATATCTTATTGTATTTATTCATTTCTTCTTTAGGCCCCGCTCGGCAATATTCCAGCTATATTATAGCACTCTGTATAGAATCTTAACCCACGATTGACATTTCGAACATCGATCTTGTCCGCCCACTGTGGGCCCGTATCTGTACAGTCCTTAGTTCCCAAACAATGCGAAGGTCCGGGTTAGAATGTACCTTCAGTAACCCATGCTTGTCGTAAGAGGCGACTAACAGGATCGGGTGGTCAGGCTCGCTGACTTGGTTGACACATGTCATCGGTTCCCAATTGCGCAGATCGATGCTCATGTTGTTGATCACTGGATTGTCTGGTCCAGACTCGATTATTTACAGACCACCGCCATATAGCTGGAATATTGCTGAGCGCGGCGTAAAACTAAACTCACTCACTCACTCACAAACAATGCCACATGCGCAGATTGGTTTCTATTCCAGGCCCCACCCACAGCTACTTCTGTATGTGTTCAATCTTATCAAGATTCAGTGAGGTTGCCTGGCTGTGTAACCTCAAATCGGTCCCCCAAAGACCCAGGTTCGATGCTGCACACATGTGCAGCCCGGACCCTGATAACAAGGTATCAAAATTCGATGGGTCAGTCTCGCTGTTTAATCTTAAGCTGGTTCCCCCAAATACCAAGGTTCGATGCTGTACACGCATGTAAGCCCGGACATTGATAACATCGTCCGTGTCGGGATACAGCTAAACGCCGACTAACCAGCCCTATAATCCCAGCTAATAGCTTGGACTTCAGACTGGCTAACACCGACGCCTCATCCCATCGATAACTCCCTCTACCCACTTCAGAACAATGCCTCGGATATCCGAAAGAATTGAGTGAGTGATTCAGACTTGCAGAATTAGCAGTGTTTTCGTTACGTCACGACAGTCTGCGATCGTGTTTCAGCAGACAACGGAAATCATGGAGATAACCTGAAAACATTATCAACGGTCAATTCTTTTTTTGTGTGTGTCTCACTGTGGAGCGAGAGCGAGCTCATTTCAAATAGGAATGGTTAGCTGGTCGGACATTCCATACCTTAAAGTTAAACGTATCATCTGTTCTCCATCTGTTGATGAGATCCGAATAGTGAATGATAGCCACGCTGTTCCTTACCTAACGCGAGAACGTCCTCATGTGGGGGCGACACGCAACACGGCGCTTCCTCCTGATATACAATGAATCACAAGTCGTCTAGTGCGGAATCAAGGCACGGGAAGACACGTGCAGCACAGTGAGTGTGTGAGTGAGTTTGGTTTTACGCCGCTTTTTGCAATATTCCAGCAATATCACGGCGGGGGACACAACAAAGGGGCTTGACACATTGTGCTTAAGTGGGGAATCGAACCCGGGTTTTCGGCGTGACGAGCGAACGCTTTAACCACTAGGTTACCCCACCGCCCCCGCTGTATAAGAAGAATTGTACTTTAAGGAAGTCAACGGGTCAGTTAATGTTTTGTTTGTGTGCTTTTTAACGCCGCACTCATGAATATTCCAGATATATGGCGGCGGCCTGTAAAAAGTCGAATATGGACCGGATATCCGGTGATGAACAGCATGAGCACCGATCATCAACTAGGACCTGATGACGTGTCAACAAAGTCAAGGTCGATCAGTCGAGT